CACACACACACACACACACACACACACACACACACACACACACACACTTAAGTCTATAAATAAGAGGCAGAAGAAGAGAGCAGATTTAGGTCAGCAGACGTGTCTACATGCTGCTCCACTCTTTCCACCAAGCCTCTTCAGAGGACGGGGGTGGGGGTGGGGGGGGGGCACAGCTTGACACTTAGAAATCTCCAGCATCAATATGCCTGGTCACCCAGTGTACGGTAGTATCCGCCTCATTACTGCAGTATCTGCCTTATTACTGCAGCATGCACCTCATCACAGCAGTGCCGGCCCTATCACCATGGTGCCCACCTTGCTACGGCAGCACCGGCAGCACTGCTGCAAGTGTCATCATTTTTTTTTTTACTGCATGCAGCCCGCTTACTACTTAGGCATAAACCTCGTGAATGCAGTACAAGCCTTATTACTGCACTTGAAGCTTTGCCGCTGCACCGTGAGCCTTATCACTATTACGAGTTAGAGGTATTCGGCAACTGAAGGTATGCAATGTTAGAGTGCATCCATTCCTCATGGGGTAGCCGCAGGAACACGACCTGTTACTGTAAATTCAAACTTTAGAGATTGACAATAAAAGCCTGCAGCAGTCATCATGTCCAATACATTTTCTTATCAAGCCTTTTAAATAAATGCATGTTAAGATACAGTATGTGTTAAAGGTGATTTTGTTATAGTTCCGACCAGCTCATTGTTGATGTATTGATTTAGAAAGAACAGGCTGGGAGGAAGTGCAAGGGATTTGTAAGGGTGCTAAAAAACTAAATCAGGGAGTGCATCTTAAAACTAAAGGCCCACTATTTTCCCCTTATGTTGTTTAAGAAGTAAAGTGTTGTGTTATCCTCTCTTACTGGGAATATTCCTGTAAATGAAACAGTTGTATTTTTAAATATACGTTGGACACTAACTGGAGTCTGTGGACTTCCTGAGAGGGTACTGCACTCAGCAAAAACTAGGCTCTCCTCTCCCCACCAGGGTTATCTGCTCATCTACAGTATAGGCAGAGGCAGCTGTGCAACTCTGCATCACATCTGGCTACCCAGGTTCAGCTCCGATGTGAGTCTAGACAAAGTAAGAACCTCTGAGGTGACTATGTGGGCAGCTCTGTGGGTCACAGCGGGGGGCGGCGCACAAGAGGCCCATCCACTCAAAGCAACAGCTGCACCGACTGAGACAGTCCCCAACACTAGAAACCTAGAGTCACTTCGCCTTCCACTGCTTAAAGCACAGCTCCCTACGTCACGGCAGGCTCACAGGTGTACAAGAACATGCTTCACGAGGAAGGCTGTACCGTGAGTGTGCTCGGTAGTGGCCTCTGTGTAATGACGAAGTCCATCTTCTTTAAAGACTGTTGTTGACAAAAGCGTTGACCACAAGTCGTTGTTTAACAAGCCGTTATAACTGGCCAAAATACGTTTTCAATTCATGCCGTTTAACATATAGGACCATTGATACAAATGTAGGTCATTTTTATATAATTTGGTAATTACCTAAAGAAAAAAATATAGAATAACCCAGCTTGTGTGGAATTATTAGCTTAACTAGCTAATGGGTATTTGGGGAAACACTCAATGTATTTTACGCTAAAAAAAAAAAAGTTTAGCAGACTTTTTTTTCCGTTATGATAAACTGGAAAGTGACGGCCGCTTCCTCAGCTTTGTTAACGGGAATGATTTCTCGACAGAAAGACACGAGAGGGTCACGTATTACCGGTTATTATCAATTTAAAACGAAAACTTTTTTCACCCAGACCCCGTTACCCACAGCACTGATACACCTCCACCGTGGACTATTATTCCTAAGAACACCGCCGCTCCGTAATGTACTTCCTCGGCGTGTTTTACTTCGCTCTATGAAGGAAATAGAAACGGTGTCTTACCGCGTCCAGGTCCGCCGGAGTTCGAAAGAGAAACATGGAGGGTATTTAAACGGTCCCGTCGGCTACCGAGGAACAAGCCGTCCTCGCTCCCCGAGACTCTATCACACAATGGCGCTGATAGGAGGAAAAGACTGCCTCTGCTCACGGGAGCGCTTGCTGCCTTCACGAGCCATCGGACACACTCGCAATGTAAACTGCACGTGCGTTTATGTGCCGCAAAAGGTGTCATTTGAAGCATAACGAGGCATTAGTTAATCAGAGCTACACACGAGACACAAAGTTAAACACAGGGGAAACCGGTGTTCGATGCTTTGCAGATATAAAATAGGACTTTTAGTGAACATAAATGTGATATTTAAAGGACAGAAGGCAAAGCGATGTGGCAACTAGAGGTCAGTTGGATGAATTTCACTATCATGTAACTGTTAATTAAAAAATAATAAAATATAAATTTTCAGTAAGGGATACACTTTAAGATGGTATAATCGCTTGTGCAGCTGCCTCCCTAAGTTGTTCTCCGTCATATTTGAACATATTTAATTCAGATAAATACGGACATCAACAGAGAGCATTTAGCCTAGAATTAATAAATGTATAGATACACATGTACTTTACTGAAAACATCAACCATACTCCCGATGTCACTCTTAATGTCAGAGCGGCATGATAACTGCCATGACAGGGTCCATGTTGTTAGGGCGGGTAAGTTTACGAGGAGCACGTGAAGGCAGCAGGAGAAGCTGAAACCGAGCAGCTGCCCCGAGAAGTGGCGTCCTCAACTTTGCTCCGCCCACACATGCACACACACACACACACACGCGCGCGCGTGCGCAGTATGCTATATAACGTTTTATCGCTTTCTCTCTCAGTATAAAATATGTAATTACGTCGTAACACCTTTTGAAACGCTGGATACATGCCCGACCATTACTTTCATAATACTATGTTTTTAATTTTCTAGTATGTTATCAGAGATTTTTTATTAGTATCTGCTGGGGTTTGACTTGGACTGAGAACTTGGATCCATTAATTTATTCTTTTATTGACACAAGAATGGATGAGTGGTGACAGAGATGAGCACTGGACCAATGGTGCCGTTTGGCCGGTGAGAGATGCCCGTCCTGCCCCAGCAGCAGATGGCAGGGAGATGTCCGGTAAACTCAAACAAAACCCAGCAGAGTCTGCTCCAGACGGACAAAAAACATGGTGGAGCAGGGCAGAAAATGGGCACCGTGGACCATTTGTGTCCCTGCTGCCCCCTGCTGCACACTCAACCCAGTTGTGCACTGATACGGTCACAATCACAATACGAGTCCCCATATTTTGCCTGACGGGCTGCCTGTTCTCAGGACATGTTTTGATCAACCTGATGTCACAAGTATTTACACTTACTGGAGTCCAGTGTTAACAGGACTGGACTGTTGGCACAGAATCATTCAGTTTCTCCAGTTGTCAGTGTGGTAAACAGCATTTAGGTCCGTCACTCTCCACTGTAACGACGTGGTCAAACCAGGAAATGGCACAACAAAAGTCTGGCTGGTCTTATCCAGCATTCGTAGCTATACCTACGAAAAATATTGTGCCATTATTCCTAGATATCCAATGAAATGATCTTGTATGTTATCCACGTAATCATGGACGAACAAGTATATAGACTGCAAAAGCCCACTCAGGGTGGGTTGATGTGTCCAACAAACAGTGACATTTCAGCCAGGAGTTGCCCGAGTGAAACGAGAAGTCAACGTTGATTTATTTGTCACGTAGCTTACGTAATATAGTTACGACACTTACATGGTTATTTTAACCCAAATAACAATCTTTTCCTAAACCTAACCAAGTAGTTTTGTTGCCTAGACCTAACCAAGTAGTTTGGTTGCCCAAACCTAACTAAGTAGTTTGGTTGCCCAAACCTAACTAAGTGGTCTTGTTGCCTAAACCTAAGTAAGTGGTCTTGTTGCCTAAACCTAACTAAGTAGTTTGGTTGCCTAAACCTAAGTAAGTGGTCTTGTTGCCTAAACCTAACTAAGTAGTTTGGTTGCCCAAACCTAACTAAGTGGTCTTGTTGCCTAAACCTAACTAAGTGGTCTTGTTGCCTAAACCTAACTTAGTATTTCTCTATATTTTCTTAAACCTAACCAAGTAGTTTTGTTGCCTAAACCTAACTTTGTTGCCTAAACCTAACTAAGTGGTCTTGTTGCCTAAACCTAACCAAGTAGTTGCATTGCCTAAACCTAACTAAGAAGTTTGGTTGCCTAAACCTAACTACAGTAACTGGTGTTGTTGCCTAAACCTAAATAAGTGGTCTTGTTGCCTAAACCTAACTTAGTATTTCTCTATATTTTCTTAAACCTAACCAAGTAGTTTTGTTGCTAGAACCAAACTTAAGTTGTTTCCTGCGAAGACGGAAGATTATTTTGCAAAGACCATATACATTTAACGAGCGGAAATTGACACATGTCGCTGGTTTTCGTAGGAAAACTCACAAAAAATGAGGAGCGACTTAAGATATCAAACCAACCAATACTGGTACGACCGTTATGATGTGCCGTTAGTCATCATTGGCTGAAGGTCACAATACACAAACACGTCCATCAGTGGACTGCATGACATGTAGGAGATTTCTTTTTAATAAAAGGATAAACTGACTCAGTCTAATCGGTGCATACAGAAAAGCTTGTGGAAATTGCTGTACTAATAATAAAAGACGGGGATATTCTGTTATGTTCAATATATCTGCATCATGCAAAAAGCCTGAATGAAACCTCAGCTGGAGTACAGCTAACGGGCGGGTTAGCTCAGTGTGTGCACGCACGCTGAGCTTTTTTGGTGAATGGAGATCTGATTTAAGTCCTGCGTTCATCTCTCTGGACTCCCGAGTTGACTCATGAATGCTGAGCAGCGAGGAGGGATGGCTCTAAATAAAGATTTCAGGTCAAAAACAGGAAATGGCTCAGTGAGCAGGGAGGGCAGGGCCATAGCAACACCAACTGGAGAGCTGCACCCACCACATCCCTCCCTCCCTCTCTCCATCTATCTGTATTTATTTCTCCCTCGCTCTTCTTTTATTTCCCTCTCTGTGCAAAATCTGCCCGTTCCTTGTCTCCCCTGCCTTTCTGCTGTTGCTTCATCCCTATTCTTCTCTATTTTTCTGCAGTTTTCTTCCATATATTTCATTTTTTCTGAGGTGCTGATTTTAATTCAGTGACTATCAGAAAGAGAATTGCTAAAAAGCACAGTTCAAAAGGTTTAACAGTTTAAGCATTGAAACCATAATGAAAGGCTTACATCATCAGAATAATATCACAGAGAACACGTAATGCTACATGTTATGTGTCACTATCAGTGTGAACCTTACTCATGGTGAGTTCACTGGTCCCACTCACCGCTCCGGCCCAGCTACATCGTCGCTTCCACCCATCGCTGTGTTGCACCTCTGGGTGGTAACGCGCAGGATTACGGCAGTCACCGGAATTAGTTCGCCGACCGTCATGTTCCATTTATACTCACTGTGACAGCACGCAGGCATTTTTTTACATCATCAGGGTCTATAAATTGACACGGTGACACACACACAGCTGGAATGATTGATTCATAGCCTGCGTGTTATCCATCAGTTATGTGATCGATGAGTCCTCTGTCTTAGTAATAAAGGAATTACTAGACACTACTATTAGCCTGTTATTGACTCTATGAAGGAATTAATACATGCAATAGCACTTGGCTAGTAGCTTGCAGTATCTTAGTAATCCATTACTATAACTTTTACAACTACTGTTTCTGTTACTGCAATACCGACCACCACCATAACAACTTGTATTACTACTACAGTAAAGACACCTACTACGAACACTTCTACTACTACTTAAACAATTACAGGTACTGCTTATCATTACTGTTGCTAATACTGCTACTACTACTGCTGTTTTATGTAAACAAAGTCACCACTGGTTTCTCACAACATGGGTTTGAAGTAGCATCTACATAAACCTAAGGCCATGTCCACACTACTCCGTTTCCATTTGAAAACGCATATGTTTTGCTACGTTTACACTGAGCGTCCACACTACGCCGGAGTTTTCGAGCACCGAAGACGGATAAGTTTGAAAACTTCGGGTTGCGTTTTCGTGTGGATGGTCGAAAACGGATACATTTAGAAATGATGACGCTACTTGATTGGTTCTTAGCAGTCATGACGTGTCCTTCCCTGATTCGTCCCACTCCTATCACGTGACCCTTACCCGGAAGCTCACAAACAACATTGTTTACCGATCGACTACCAGGTTAATTTAACATGGACAACTGATTACAGGCGTTGCTGACCTTGTTGTCTTTACTAGCAGCTGTTGTTCAGTTAAAGTCTGCATTATTACGGAGGAAGCAGCTGTTATTGGAGCGATTAGCGAGCGGCGTGATCAGCGTTATCAGACCTACGGAGCGGACGTCTGAAGTCACGGTTAGCAGCTTTAGGGAGGGTGATGGACACAAAACGGAGGACTTTCCTTTTTTTATTAATGCTTATTTTGTTTTGCACATCTATTGTGATGTCTGCAGATAAAATGTAAAGGAACAAAAGCAGTAAATGCTATTCAGTAGGACAGATAGTTAAGCCAGCAGCAGAGCTACGAGTGAGAACAGACAACAACGAAACTGGGAGGAAAAGAGTGAGAGACGTGTGTTGACCACATTTATGGACCCATAATCTAATAAACCTTTATGAGTAAGTGTTGATTTTAAAGTAAATTTGATATGTGAGAGAGATATAGAGCAAGACCTGCAGCGTTGTAACTAAATAAAATAAAACTTCTAAAACTTTCCACGAACTGTGTTTGTTTGAGTTCATAGAGGAAGATTTTAGAGAAGATCTTAAGTATCAAACACGACCGTTCATTATTAAAGACTACTTTATTACTCGTATTTCTTTTAACTAAGCAACCAATCTACTTCCTGTTTACATCGACACCCACGCGCATGCCCAGTGTACATGAAGAGTCACGTGATATTAGTTTTCAGGCGTTGTAGTCTGGACGGAGATAATTTCGAAAACGATGCTGAAATGCTGTGTGGACGGAGATAGTTTTTGTTTAAAAACGGAGTAGTGTGGATGTAGCCTAAGTCTCCTAAAAGTGACGCTCCCATACGACGAAACTGCACTGTCAATTACATTTCCAGGTAAAGTATTTTGATGTGGCTTATGCTTGCTTTTGACGTATTTCAAATAAGTTTCAAATGAGTCCGCGGAATTCTGCGTCGAGAGGAGGTCAAGGTGGTGGATGGGTCAGAAAACAGGGCTTTGTACTGGAGTACAAACCAGGAGTAGTACTACCCAAATAGTAGTATTGTTGCAGAATCCTAACCAAGTACTTTTGTTGCATTTTTGTTTTGTTTCAATTCTGTAGTCATTTTAAGCAAAATATTATGTTTTTTACTAAACCTAACTAAGTTGTGTTGCCTAAATCTTTAAAAAAGTAGTTTTGTTATGTTTTTTGTTTTGTTTTTTCTTTACGGGTTTGAAACGGTTTATAACTACGATGGTTCGGTCGTAAATACGTTTCGAAAATACGTTTCCCTCGTAACGTAATTGAGTCAGTTTGGTTGTATGGGAAAGTAATTTTGTAGGAGACAGGGTTGACAAAAAAAGACACATTTTTATAAAATAGGGACATCGCGTCATTAAGGTAATTTATTTCCCATTCCATAACTCTAACCATCAGAACTACATGCCTAACCCAAGCCGTAGTGTAACATTCTTCTTAAAAACGTCCTCCAGAGCACTGGGTTAAGTGAATGTCCAGTCCAGTCGTCCAGAAAAGAAATGTTGGCATTTTACATTCCTGGAAACCATTCATATGTTGAATGTCGACATGTTTGCATTCGGTCAAAGGACTTGATCAATGAGCGTCGCGGAACACAAGTGACTTAGTAGCCGTTATCAAACGACCGATATTGAAATTTAGTTGGTGGATGGGTCATAAAGTACACAGGACTTTCACTCAGTTGACCGCTGTTGGTGTCCTATGTGAAACCAAAAGTAAACGATGTCTTTATGCCTGTTGTCATGCTATAATGCTTGTTGCATAAGAAAATTTGCTCAGGACATCGTTATTATTCTATGCTTGAAAGGTTGTTGCGGTTGTTACATCATGTAGTTAGGTTACATAGTTACCTTGTTAAGTTACCTTGTTAAGTTACGTTGTCACATTACGTTGTTCGATTTTAGTCTAATTTTGTTGCCAAAAACTAATCAATCCTCTTAAAGCATTAACCACGTGGCATTGTTCATTTTTGAATGCGTGACACAAGGCCTCAATCTAATGCCAAAAACATTCGCAACTTTCTTCTAGATTTGTTTGGAGAAGAGTGCCAAAGAAAATTTTCATTCTTTTTATTTTGAGTCACATTTGGAAACTAAATATGCAAAAGCGAAGTGCACAGGTGGTGCAATTTCCCCTTTGATGATATATAAATAAAAAATTGTGAGCGAGTACTATATACAATGTACACACAATACACAAACTTTCGATATTTGTCTTAACATTTTTTTTTTTTGCAAAACCTAGTGGAAACATCCATGAGCGCCGGCAGATTGGGAGAGGGTGTGTGAAGAGGACCAGAGAATATTATAAATACTATTAGACATGGGCGTGGCAACACAGAGGGAGAGGGGGAGACAGGGAGGAAAGGAGGGAGGGGAAGGGCTCCACACCAAAAACACCCATCTGCTTTCTTTCTCATTCTCTTTCCCTCTCTCTTTGTCTCCACCTCCTCCTATTATCTCTCTTTGTCTCTCTGCCAGTCTCTTTTTATCAGTCATTGTGTGCCATTCCCCCCTCTACACCCTCTACG